GTACAATGGGCGTCCATGTACAAACAAGGCCCAAACCTACAAGGAACTGTTTGCAACTCTTCATACAGGCAGCATGGCAACTGTTGATACAGAAACGATTTCTCAACATGGTTCCTTAGGTTCCACCTTGGAGCGCGCTTGCGATAGAGGCGTAGTGCTACATGCTATAGACTTTTTCGTCGTTTTCTCCCCCTGCACGACCAGAGCCAGAGCCAGAAAGTAGTCGTCAATTGTGCGGAGACTTGCTTGTGTGGACCGCATTAGATCCGATTTATTATGCACAGTGGGACAGTTTTGGGCAAATTACGATGTATTTTCACGGAAATAAAAGCACAAAGTTGGCGCTTAATAAAATAGAAGGATACCTTTTGGCTGTATGTTGACTGCTCTTCCTCGAATTCAGGCCAAATCAGATTAAGTTGGAAATTCGTAACGGAGAAGTTTAATCTTTATGGACACGAATATCATGTTGGTTTGCCGCAAAAATGTCTCATCAGTGAGCTATGTGGGTCGTTTTCGGTCATGGCAGACAGTGTCTCAACCTTCGACCAAGGTGCTTCTAAGTCCTTACACAGACAGGTAAAGGCAGGCATTAAATAACGCCACTAGAACCTTTTCACTCATGTTGTCGAAAAGAACTACAAGGAACCGACCCCATGACCTCTCGCCTACGAGTCTGGAGCGCTACCAATTACATCATTGCGACCGTCTGTTCTAGTTCAGTTTATACCGGCGGCTCTGAGGATAGCACTCAAATACAGCCTTCGAGTACAGTGTTGAGGAAAAAACTTCCGTAACTCCGTTCAGAGCACCGTTTAGCAGATAAGAAAAGCGGTTTCTAGCTTATCGTCTCAAGACGAATGCATGGTTGTATACCTCATTGCAAATGGCTGGACCGACCTAATGAATTTTCCTGGGTAGGAGAGCACCTGTGTAACACCTTCACGTTTTTCACTTGCGCCTTGTTCTGGTCAATCTAAAAAAGAAGTGTTTCGCGACCTATACGGTTCTTCACAAAAAAGCGGAAGCTCAGATGCGAATTTTATTGCTAGTGAACATTTTTTTAGGTATTGTGTGTCAATGAAGAAACACTGCGCACCGAAGACGGAAACAGTGAGAGAACACATCAAGCGAGAGGCGCGGACATCTCGTCACCGTTGTGCGTAACCAACGATCCCATCCTAACGAACCCTTGCGTCCACCTCCAGAGTTACGATAGTGGCGGTCACCTCCGCGAGTATGGATGCAACTACTTTGTTCAGAGAAAGGATCCTTTCAACAGCCTAATCTTCGGATGACCTTGAAGGTAATTTTTATCGAATGAAGAAAATTTTCAGCTTTCCCTCTCCACAAATCTTACCTAAGATTCCATTCATCTAATTCGGGTATGCTTATGTTAAGTATTACTATTTCTGATTTATTATTCAAGCCCTAATCAGGAATCAGGAACACTCTGTGTGCGTTAACAATAGTTCAAGGAAATATAACCTTCAAAAGAAGGCATACAAAGTATCGTCAATGACATACTTATCGTGACATACTCCTTCAGTTTCCATATTTGGTTTTCAGTTTCCCATATACTCCACATTTGGGGATTTTTACTATGCTGCGCGAGGAAATTTACCAAGAATTCACAATTATTCTTGCTAACTGCATCGATGGAACTGTCCAAAGAAGGCAACGTTACAAAGATGACATACAATGAATACTCATTAACTCCTCCGCTTTTGGCTCCAGTTGGTGGAATGTAGGCACT